AAACTGTCTTTTTAAGTTTCAAGGAGATTTATGCACATGTGTAGTAGAACCGTCTGAGGGTGGGACTGGGGTATCCACTAGCTCAGGCACCCCTATAGTTACCAGAATGGAGGTACGCAGACAGCAAGGGACCAACGGAAATATACCAAAAAAAAAGAAAAAAAAAGAATGTCCACACCTTTATCTCTGTCAGGCGTCCGTGGCCGCTCTGATCCTTTCCCTGCTTGGCCTCACACAAAATGGTGGCTCCTGGAGCTGCTGAGCGTTCCAAACCAGGAAGCAATGGATTTCTTTCTTCTGCCACAAACTCCCCATCTGTAATTCTTCCAACCTTCTAAATATTCTAATATATGTGGTTCAGAGTACTGGGATCATCCCCTGAGCCTTCTTGTTCCTGTATTCTGTGTTGTTCCTGGCAGAGCTCGTCACTGCACTTCCACCTGATCCACCATCTTTTTCTGGAAGCCTCACTGTGGATTTTTGTTTTGTTTGTTGAGTACCATGGAATGGGTTCCAACTCATAGTGACCTTGCACAGGGTTTCCGAGGCTGCAAATCTTTACAGAAGCAGAAAGCCTCATCTTTCTCCCGCAGAATAGCTGGTAGTGTCAAACTGCTAGCCTTGAGGTTAGCAGCCCAACTCATAACCACTAGGCTAGATAGTAGCTACCATATTGAACAGTGTAGTTGTAGGGCTTTCATCTACTGATTCCAAAACCTGGCTGCCTGTCAGAGGCACCACATAAAGAAACTTGTTTTAAAATACAGATTTTCCATCAGTCATCTCTATTTTGATTAATTACCTCTAGGGAAAGGCCCATAAATCTGTTTTTGATCAAGTGTACCGTGTGATGCTGATGAAGCAGTTCATGAGTAAGCTTACGTAAGTTACTTTATTAACTCAAAGCTATGAAGAAAACAAAAAAATGTATGCATTCTGAGAAAATTTGAGCAACACAATGTGAAGTTTAGTAGGAAGATATTTGTGATACATCTCAAAATATTTCAGAAATTAATTACCATACACCACTGCTGAAATATCCATACTCCTACAGTTAATACCACAATAATTCAAATTTATGCACCAACCACTAAAACCAGTGATGATGAAAATGAAGAATTCCTCCAACTTCATCAGTCTGACATTGATCAAACAAGCAACAAGAACCATTGATAATTACTGGTGATTGGGATGCAAACGTTGGAAACAAAGAAGAAGGATCAGTAGTTTGAAATTTTTTCTTTGGTAGCAGATATAATGCTGAACATTGTATGATAGAATTTTGCTGGACTAATGGCTTCTTAAAGGAGCTCTGGTAGCGTAGTGGTTACGAATCGGGCTGCGAACCTTAAAGTCAGCGGTTTGAAACTACCAGCTGCTCCACGGGAGAAAGATGAGGCTTTCTAATCCCGTAAAGATTTACACCCTCGGAAACCCTGTACAGGGTCGCTATGGGTCAGAACCCACTCGACGGCACTTAACAACAACAACAACGGCTTCTTCCTTGCAAATACCTTTTTTTATACAACATAAAAGATGATTATGCACATGGACTTCACTAGATGAAATACACAGAAATCAAATTGAGTATATCTGTGGGAAGAGAGGTGTAACTTTCCATAACATCAACCAAAACAAAGCCAGTGGCAAACTGTGGAAAAGACCATCAATTGCTCATATGAAAGTTCATGCTGAAGCTGAAGAATATTAAAACAAGTCCACAAGAGATCATCTCAAAAGTAGATTTGATGCATTAGACACTAATGATAGAAAACCAGGATAGTTATGGGATTGTATCAAGAACATCATGCAGGAAGAAAGCAGAAGGTCATTAAGAAAGCAAGCAAGAAGGAAAAGACCAAAATGGATGTCTGGAGAGTATCTAAAATGTGCTCTCCAGCATAGTGATGCTAAAGCAAATGGAAGAAATGAGGAGATGAAAGGGCTAAACAGAAAATTTCAAAGAGCAGCTCAAGAAAACAAAGTCAAATAATATAATAAAATGGGCAAAGACCTGGAGTTACAAAACCAAATGAGAACACACTTAGCACTTGCTGAGGGAACTGAAGAAAAAAAAAAATCAAACCTCGACTTGCATTATTGAAGGATTATTTATGTAAAACACTGAATGACCCAGTAAGCTTCAAAAGAAGATGGAAGGAATACACAGAGTCACTGTACCAGCAAGAAACTGACAATGTTCAACCATTTCAAGAGGTAGCATATGATCAAGATAATGATACTGAAGGAAGAAGTCCAAGGTGCACTGAAGGCATTGGCAAAGGCTCTGGGAATTGATGAAATATAAATTGAAATCTTTCAATAAACTGATGCAAACTGAGGTACTCACTCATCTATGCTAAGAAATTTGGGGAAAAGCTACCTGGCCAACTGATTGGAAGAGATGACTATTTGTGCCCATTCCAAAGGGAAGTGAACCAACTAAATATGCAAAACCATTGAAGAATAGCATTAATAACACATGCAAGTAAAATTTTGCAAAAGATAATTTTAAAAAATGCCTGCAACACTACATTGACAGGGAACTGTCAGAGGTCCAAACTGGATTGAGAAAAGAACATGAAATGAAGGACACCATTGTTGATGTCAGATGGATCTTGACTGAAAAGCAGAGAATACCAGAAAGATATTTACCTGTTCTTTATTGACTACACAAAGGCTTTCGACTGTTTGGATCATGACAAGTTATGGACAACATTGCAGAGAATGAGTATTCCAGAACAGTTCATGTGCTCATGAGAAACCTGTACATAGACAAAGAGGCAATCATTTGAATAGGACAAGGGGACACTGAATGGTTTAAAATCAGGTAAGATGTGAATCAGGGTTGTATTCTTTTACCATATTTATTCAATCTGTATGCTGAGCACATAATCCAAGAAACTGGATTATATGAAGAAAAATGTGACATCAGAATTGGAAGAAGACTCATTCAGAATGTTCAATATGCAACTGTGCTTGCTGAAGAGGACTTAAACGATTTAATGATGAAGATCAAAGACCACAGTCTTTGATATGGGTTGCAACTCAATGCAAAGAAATAAAAAAATCCTTACCACGGGACCAATAAATAACATCATGATAAATGGAGAAAAAATTGACATTGTCAAAGACTTCATTTTATTTTGATTCACTATCAACAACATGGAAGTAGCAGTAAGGAAACCAAATGACTTATTGCATTAAGCAAATCTGCTACACAAGACCTCTTTATAGTATTCTAGAGCAAAGATATTATTTGAGGACTAACGTGTGCCTGACCAAGCCACATGCAATAACTTCATATGCATATGAAAGTTGGACAAAACATAAGGAAAACCATAGAAGAATTGATGCATTTGAGTTATGGTGTTGGAGAAGAATATTAAAGTTATCATGTACTGCTAGAAAACAAACAAATCTGTGTTGAGAGAAGTACAACCAGAATGCTACTTAGAAGCCAAGATGACCAGACTTTGTTTCTCATTCTTTGGACATATTATCAGTAGGAACCAGTCCCTGGAGAAGGACACTATGCTTGGTAGTGGAGGTACAGAGAAAAAAAGGGAGAACCCCAGTGAGTTAGATTGGCACAGTGGCAGCAACAATGGGCTCAAGTATTAACAGCAATTGTGAGGATGGAGCAGGACTAGGATGTGTCCCCTCTTAGAATTGTAGTTGACTTTGATTCTCCCACACAGGCTGATGTTGAGTATAAAAGGGCAGAATTATACATTATATTCCTTAATTCCACCCCTTACTCTCCCATGGTTGTCCTTCTTTGGCTTTCACCAAAATAAGAGCTCACTCACTTTCATCTCTTCAACAACGGAATTATCAGGTTTTTTGGGTTAGGTATTTAAACTATTTCCCTTCCTTCAGTTACATGAGAACTTGTGGATTGGATCTGGGAGTAGAGGCAACTATTCTTATACTTTTCAGAAATGAAGTCTCCAGATGGACTTTTCAGTAATTTCTTGTTGTTATGTAGCCTCGAGTCAGCTGCTACACTTGAGTCCATGATGTCCTTTTCTAGGGTTCTAACCCACTAGCTACTCCTCAGAAAGCCTGTACAAAGTTGCTGAGTCGGAATCGACTTGACAGCACTTAACAACAACAACAATCTTTGGAGAAGGACATTATGCTTGGAAAAGTGGAGCTTCAGCAAAATCGAGGAAGATCCTCAACAAGATGGATTGATATGGTTGCAGCAGCAAAGGGCTCAAATGTAACGTTGTAAACATGGAGCAGGACCCGGCAGTGTTTCATTCCGTTGTGAGTCGCCCCTTAGCTCCCCATCTAACAACCTAACTCGTATATAAGTCATCATGGGGATGGAACAGGATTTGGGGTTGTGCATGGGGTCCGTGGGCTGATTCCATGGCAGCTTAACAACAGTGTGTAAGTGAAGAAACTGAAGTTTGAAAATGTATAACATCAGGTGAATCCTCCATTTTTCACAAGGTTAGATTTAATTATTAATAAAGATTAGGGTGGGGCTTCCCATTTAAAGACGGAAAAGGTTAAGCATCTTTTCCCTCCCTCCTAACTCCCTCCAGTTGTGAACTACCAGACGACTCTCGGACATTCTTGTAGAAGAGAGGCTAAGCCCCACCCCGGGAGGAGAGTCACAGTGGGCGTGGCCTCACGCTGTTTCTCCCGTAAGCCGGATCTCCGCAGAGCCGTAAAGAGCTCTGTGAGTCGTGAAGTGTTGAGGTGCGGGAGCGTTACTTTACGGCGGGATTTGAATCGCGCTTTCTGGGCCCTACACGTGTGGTGCTGTCGGTCTCCTTTCCTGTAGTTCACGCTTGGCGTGGGAGTGACAGTATTCCGGACCAAGTGGCAGCAGGGATCACCGTCCGTGAGTTGGTGAAGTTTGCTGAAGGGGCGTCTGAAGGAGATTGCCAGAGTGCAGCTTAGGGGGCGCGGCTAAAATCCGACTCGTGTGGGGAGGGAGTCAGGGGCTTAGCAGGGATGGCGGACACCTGCGATGAAAAAGAGGGGAATGAACTGACAAGAGCGGAGAAAACAGAGGATGGATGGGAAGGAAATGGGCAGAGGGCAGAGGACATGCGAGTGGACCTGAAGATTGTGAAGCAGGAAATTACAGAATGGCCAGAAATAGGAGAATGCAAGTTGGATGCGCAGTGGGTGAAGGAGGAGATGGGTGAGCCTGAGGTGAAGGATGAGAAAGTGGGTATATGGGAGGTAAAACAGGAGATGAATACGAGTTTTCTGGTAAAAGAAGAGAAGATGGATGAACTAGAGATAAAGGAGGAAAAAGTGAAGGTGAAAGAAGAGGTTATGGACTGGTTAGAAGAGAAAAAAGTTAAGTTTGAAATAAAGGAAGAGCTATTGGCTGATCAGAACATCAAAGAGGAGGAGCTAATGTATGGAGTTTGTGTAAAAGAAGAGAAGGATGTCCTGAAAAAAGAAGTAATGGATGATACAAAAGTGAAAGAAGAGCCTGAGCTCAATCCTCCAGTGATCTGCAAGCGGAAACTGGCCATGTCAAGGTGGGTTGGAGAGAAATTGATTGGGGGGCTGTAGCCATGGAGTGCTCTGTTTAGAACAAGAAAACTACTTTCTACCTGCAGAGGGTGGAATAATGAAAAGTAAAGCAAGTTTGGGTCCCTGGAGCCTGAGTTAGGAGCCAGTTGGGGTGGTTGTGTAGAGGTGGAACAACGTTGAATGTTGTCAAATGACAAATTCAGTGAAATGTGTGAGGTTGGTAGTAAGTCAGATGGGCAGTAGCTTGATTAGGAAATGAAAAGCCTGGGGCTGGAGGGCCTTTGAATAAGTGTCTGACTTAGCTTAGAATTTCTTTCAGATAGCATAGAGATGAGGAAAAAGCTAATAAAACAAGCAATGCAAAATATGATCAAGTTGATATTTAAATTCACCAGTCCAGTTTCTGTGTAGGTACTGTGAATATTTATAGCTTTTGATTTGCTCTTTAGTTTCCTTAATAGCATGTGATCATGTGATAAAATAGGAAATAAAAGAGTGGGTAAAACAGTGGGTCAACTGTAAATAGCAGTAGTTCGGCTCTCAGTAGCCCCCAGATCTGAGAAGAGCAGTTAATAGTTTCTAGATCATTTTAATTGTTCATTCTAGATTGAATGTGGAGTGAAAAAAGAAGATGCAACTACTACTTTCTCTAAATTTTTTTTATGTGGTGGATGTGCTCTGGAAATATCTATACAAAGCTCATTAATGGGACCTTAGTATATTCATGTACATATACACACAAACACACATACACGCATACACATTTGTTATGAGATTGCCAGAAAGTTAAAGTTAAAATATCAGTATGGCGCTGTGGGTTAATGCGCTGGGCTACAAAGGCAGTTTGAAACCCAAGCTTCATGGTTCAAGGTCACCAGCTACTCTTCGGAAACCCAATACATGGTTGCTATGGGTCAGAACCAACTCGAAGGCACTTAACACCACCACCACCAACAATCTCATTTTCAGAGTCCTTGTGAGGAGCTATAGGATTAGCACTGGACTGCTAACCACAAGGTCTGTGGTTCAAACTTACCATCCGCTTCTTGAAGTTTTCAAACAGTGTCTTGATGGGCACCAAGGTATGTTACCAAATTTACCTTTGCATAGACTTTTTGCAAGGAACTCTGGTAGCGAAGTGGTTATGAATTGAGCTGTTAACCTCAAGGTCAGCAGTTTGAAACTACCATCCGTGCGAGATAGATGAGGCTTTCTGCTCCTGTAAAGATATACAGCCTCGGAAACCCTGTTACAGGGTTGCTATGAGTCAAAACCAACTCCACGGCACATCACCACCACCACCATACTTTATGCAGTATGCTTTTAAATCGATTGTGATGGGAATTGAATACGCATTCAAAGTTTATAAGTGGAGTTAACAAATAATCTAATTACATTTGGGCTTTTGTAGGTGTGAAACATGTGGTACAGAAGAAGCAAAGTACAAATGTCCACGCTGTATGCGATATTCCTGCAGGTATATATGTCCTTTCCTACCTTTCTACTTCTATCTGTACCTTTTTTACCACAAACTGTAAAAGTAACTTCCTCTTTCTCTTTAGTTTGCCCTGTGTCAAGAAACACAAAGCAGAGCTGACATGTAATGGAGTTCGAGATAAAACTGCGTTTATTTCAATACAGCAGTTTACTGAAATGAATCTTCTCAGTGGTAAGCCATCTTATGCACAGCAGATTGTTATTTTCTGGCTACCAGCATAGATCATTCATTTATTTCTCTATTTTGACATCATTAGATTATCGATTTTTAGAAGATGTGGCCAGAACAGCAGACTATATTTCTAGAGACACTTTTTTGAAAAGACCAATTGGAAATAAGCATGTAAGTATTTCTTCTAAACTCTTTCAGTTGTAATTCCTTTCAGTCAATTAGGTTTGTTCTTTCTCATTTAGTAACTTGAGTGGCTGCCGTGATCCAGCACTATTCTAGTTACTAGGGATACAACAGTGAGGAAAATAAAGTCTTTCGCCTCATGAGGAGGGTTGTATTGTAATAAAGGAGATAGAAGAAATGAGTGGAGGAGCAAATATAATCACAGACAGAATTAAATACTTGCAGAATATAAAAAAAGTCTTAGACAACAAAGAGAATGACAGTGTAGGAGCAGGACTGGATTTCAGGGTAACATTTTGTTAATCAGAAATGTGCCTGAAGGGGTAAAAACAGTGATGAGAATGATAGGAGGGAGAGTCATGTGAACATTTCAAGGAGGACTATTCCAGTTTGGGGCATGTTTGAGGACTAAGAAGGTAAGTGAAGCGTAGTAAGTAAGGAGACTATTGCACATGAAGTTAGATGTATGTGGACTGATAAGGTCTTTTATATGAAAATGGAAGCACTGAGAGAGTTTTAAGTATATTTGCTGTTTGAAAGGTCTTTGTTGCTGTTATGTAGAGAATGGGCTTTAAGGGACGAGAGTAGAAGATAGGAAGCAGGATACTAATCACAGCTTTGGACCAGTCAAGAGATGAGGGTTGGTGGCTGAGATAATGCTATTAGGATTGTTGTTGCTTTGAAGGAAAAACTAACAGGACTTTTTTCAAAAATTTTCATTTCATACGCTTTATTTTTTTATATACTATGCAAAGTTTAAACCATGTATCTACACATACGTGCACACATGAGGGAACTTTGAAAAGTTCATGGAAAAATTCATTGAAAGATAATGGAATTTTTCCATGAGCTTTTTGAAGCCCCATTGTGTGTATGTGAGTATATGTAGCTTATATATGTTAATCTCACTGCTGAATTATTTCTAGAATACTAGTTGTTGTTGTTAAGTGCTGTAGAGTCAATTCCAACCCATAGCGACCCTGTATAGGGTTTCTGTGGAGCAGCTGGTGAGATTGAACCACCGACCTTGCAGTTCAAATGGCTTTGCAGTCTGGTGCATCAACACACAACACCACACCAGGACTCCAGAATACTAGTAGTTCATATAAAATATGTCAAAATATTTTTCACTGAGATTATTTTTTTTTTATTTGGTCTAATCAGGCATAATCAAAATTCTATTTAGAGATAAATTATTTTTCCATTTTTAAATGCATAAAATAGAAAATGCTGTCTGATAAATAATTAATTATGAAGCAAACATCCAAGTATCTATAACCCAGATCTAGACTTAGACCATTACCCGCTTTCCTAAGGTTCCTGCTGTCCGCTTACAGACACATTTGTTATACAACTTCCAGGAAGTAAAAGTTAACATATCACTGTGCAGTCTCATTTTCGGAGTCCTGGTGCCATGCTGTAGGATAAGCACCGGACTGCTAACCCCAGTGAAAGGAAACCAAACAATATTAGCAAAGGATAAAGAAGTCCAGAGGAAACTAGGTGTCGCTTCCAGGAGTCTTCCCAGTGGAATCCTCCTTAATTCCTTCAGCAGTGAGTTGTGACAATACTTGCACAGTGCTGTCTACCAGGGAAGTTACTTAGAGACTCAGTGCACAAGGATTGTATTGGTGAATATAGATACACTCAGCCAAATATGTACTAACTTTCCAGACTCCCAAAAGCAAAACAGATGTTTAGCTAGAATAAACCACATCGTTTATACAAACAGTTTAGACATCATGAAGCCACTCTTAACATTTACCAGTGGGCTGATATCAAGTCGATTCCAGCTTTTAGTGGCTCTGAGGGACAGAGTGGAACAGTTCCCTAGGGTTTCCAAGGCTGGAAATCCTTACAGGCGCAAACAGTCTCATCTTTCTCCCACAGAATGGCTGGTGGGTTCCAACTGCAGTTAACAGTCCGACATATAATCCACTACACCACCTTATCAATTAGGAAAAGTTTTGTGTAAGTGGAGAGAATCACTTACCAGGCCAGTCGCCAGATGTCAACCAAGAACTAGCTTTGCAGATGTACTTTTCTAAAGATAGTAGTCTTGGTGGTGGTGGTTATGTGCTATGGAGTCGATTCTGACTCCTAGCGACCCTATACAGGGTTTCCGAGGCTGTAAATCTTTATGGGAGCAGAAAGCCTCATCTTTCTCTCGTGGAATAGCTGGTAGTTTCGAACTGCTGACCTTGCAGTTCACAGCCCGATTCACTACCACTAGACATTTTAAATGAGCTATTCTCTGCAGAGCATTTTTGCCTTGTTCCTTGTAATATCAAAGGGGGAAGCTTTCAGAATTTCACCATTAAGATGATGTTTGTTGTTAAGTGCCATCCAGTCAGTTCTTACTCATTTAACCTGTGTAGGGCTTCCAAGGAGCGGCTGGTGAATTTGAACTACGGACCTTGTGATTCAAACTGACCTTGCTGTACAGTGCTTTATTCTATAGTACCACACATTACTTTAAATATTTTACATTTATTAGATTAAGAAAGTTCTTTCTTAGTTAACAGATTTATCATGAATGAACATTTTATTGGATCAGATATATATTTGATTTTTTTTCACTTTTATTGAATCTAATGTGAATTTTATTAGTTGATTTTTTTTTTTTTTTTTTTTTTTTTTAGGTTTTTATTGTGGATTGAGTCAAAGTTTACAGGGCACATCATCAACCCAGAATAGGAGTTCTGGTGTGGGGTTGTGGGT